TGACAGCCCTAGTTAAAATATATCTAGATGTTGTTTTTAGAGTATATTAACAGAACCGAAGTCCCGTTTAACACCAGGTTTTTATCATACGTTTCAACCTCATCATATTTTTCTCAGCCAGGTTTGATTTTGATACTAAAAGCCTGTGGATGCAAGTCCTATTTTAGCCAAATAACTAGTAGTTTAGTTTGATTGAACTGCTGGTCTCTGTTTCAGTCTGACACATGTTCCTTGTCTCCGCAGACCATGGTGTATGGGCTCAGAACAGTCTCATAATACACACATGCACACATGATCTGCAAAAGGATTCACACTTGTATTTCCGGATCCACACTCAGTGTTTCCCCTAGGTTTACTGCCTTGGTAGGGTGCCCCGAATTTCTTTTTTGAATTTAGAACATTTTTAATCCTCTGGAGCAGAGAGAGTAGCTGTGGATTATTGTTATTGATATCGTACAGTAACAAAGTATTTGTACATTAAAAAGTAATACAGTACAGTGTTACACTGTACTGTATTACTTTTATTCAAACTGTATTCCCTTCTTATCATGTAGCCTACACTTCTTGCTTTCATTGATACATTTAAATCACCTGACTGCAGCATATAACATACCTGCTGCAACCCTGTGCTGTCTGCTTGTCATACATTGTTGACGATACATTTTAAGAGGCAATTTGTTGAGTCACTGCCGCTAAATGCCGGTAGCATCAAGCTAGCAAATCCTGCATTAGCCTCACATCAACAGGTGTAGACAGAACATCCAAATATCCTGAGCTAATTTACTGAATAAACCAAGTCACATCTCCTGTTTTTTTTCACCCAACTCATATTAGACTATTCTTCTGCTGGCGTTTCATTGTTGTTTTCTGTCAAATTCAATACTGTAGTTCAAAACCGCGGTACCTGCTGTCACCATCTGTGAGCTATTTTTAGAATGCGCACGCTACGTTCGTTGTCGCGTTCGCGCGTGTCCACCTGGCTGTCTGTGTCTTTCTCCCGTGACGATAACGGCTTGAGGTTAAAAAATAATAATAAACGAATTTGATACTGGGGGGGGGGGGGCGACGACGACGACGACGACGACGACACACAAACGGCCAGACAGCAGAGCTCGGGGGAATAATGCAGATTTGTTTGACTTTTTTACACTTTGTTGTTCTATTTCGTATATGGCTTCGCCCTCTAAGGCTATTGGGTAATCCCCCTGCGCACCCACGCAGCACTGAAACACTTGTAGTCCGCGCCCACCCGCAAGGTGGGCCCCACCCTGAGAAGGGTCTAGCTGCGGCCGCGGACAGTAAACGACGGTACACGACACGCCCACCTGACACGACACTACGGTGGCTGAGAAGGGTCTAGCTGCAGCCGCGAAAGTTGTACTTCCAAATATGGTCAGAAGAGAGCACGCCCAACACGTGAGACGCTGACGCAAGGATATTCAAGGAGACTATGGGCCCTTCTCACTTCGGTTAAATGGATTCCTTGCGTCCCTCACTTGCGTCGTTTCCCTGCGACTAGTCCCTCCCACCAGGGAAGCATGGAAAGACGCAAGGAAACCACGAGAAGCAGGGTGTCACTACCCGATCTGCAGCTCTGCCATGTGCGAGATGGTCCGCCATATTGGACAACTCCGGACGGCATCCCAAGTAGGACAACATTGACACAGTGGCTTTTGGCAAAACTCAAAAGGAAAACTCGAGAGAGATGAGTTATTGTTATTACAACGTGACTTCACTATTATTTAACAACTCTTTTTATTGGGTTCTTTTATTTGGGGTTAAGTACATTGTCAGAATAAGTGAGAAATGGATTTAACTTCTGTTAGACAGCTATATGCCATACATTTTTGCACACATTCACAGTAAATATGTGTTCAGTATGATAGCTGTCTAACAGAAGTTAAATTAATACTGAGTGGAGAGGGGAAATTTGAGTATTGAGAAGCCTCTCATGTCTCCTTAAATATCCTTGCGTCAGCGTCTCACGTGTTGGGCGTGCTCTCTTCTGACCATATTTGGAAGTACAACTTTCGCGGCCGCAGCTAGACCCTTCTCAGCCACCGTAGTGTCGTGTCAGGTGGGCGTGTCGTGTACCATCGTGTACCGTCCGCGGCCGCAGCAAGACCCTTCTCGATCGAGGAGGCGTCTCGTCGCTACGGTTCTCTCTCTCTGTGTTCCCGATAAAGCATGTGTGAGCTCCAGCACTACTGATCCATCATCTGTGTGTCTGGATAAACCTCCGAATGGACTCTGTGCTCTTTTCTCTGGAGCGTTTACCTCGGACTGTAGGAGCTAGCTTTGCATGCTAGCTGGAAACACGTTAGCAACACTAGTCGGATTGAGAGTTTGATCGAGAGAAAAACGGTGTGTTTAACGGAGTTTGCAGGAAAAGGTGATCTAGTAAACATGAGTAAAGTCCAAATGCTGCTGTCGTTGAAGAAGCAGCGACTCACTGCTGCTGCTGAAGATATATTTGCTCTGTTTGAAAAAACGATAGCAGAGAACGAAGAGGAGCTGTCTCGTTCCAAAGAGGAGAACGAGAGACTCCAGAAACTACTGGACGCTGTTTTACAGCCTCAGCTTCGGATACACAGAGCAGGTCTGTTCCTACTCTTAATTAACACTTTAACCTGTTAAACCCCGAGCCTGTTTTTCAGGTTTCAGGTTCGAAAATGACATTCCCAGAACAAATGACTATAACTTCACTTCTAAAAGGTTTATATGAATAATTGTTGTTATCTAAGCAAGGTTACATCTGTGAGTTGGATGTAGAAGTGTCAGAATCAATATAGATGTTTTTATTTTAAAGTAAATTCAGATGGAACATAGTAAAAACATGTAAATTCTAATGTCCGCCTAAAAAAAAACATTACTTATAGTGAAAACCACCCTTGAATAATGGGTTAGTAGACTAAAAGCTTTAGGAATCCAAACTATAACATATAAGTACCCTGTATCAAGATTGATGCAAAACAAGTGAAATTTGACCTTTTTAGAGAGGTTTAGAAAAGCTTTTAGTCTACTATTCCATCATTCAAGGGTGGTTTTCACTAAGTAATAAGTCATGTTTTTCTTTTGGATGGACACTATAATTTAGATTTTTTTTACTATGTTCAATCTGAATTTACTTTAAAATGAAACAATTCTATATTGATTCTGACTTTTCTACATCCAACTCACAGGTTTATCATTGCTTTGAGAAAAAAGATTATTAATTTACCCCTTTTTAGAAGTGAAGTTATGGTAATTTGTTCTGGGAATGTCATTTTCGAGCCTGAGGCCTGAAAAACAGGCTTGGAGCTTAACAGGTTAACAGCAAATGGTCCTCCATTTTGACTGTTTATTATTTTCCACGGCTCCATTAGCTTTGTTGCATTTTTTTCTTATAAGCAACTCAATTTCACAATCCAATTCAGGCAACTTAATTTCTATTAGATATTTCCATTTATGTATGGTCTCTTGAGTGGGAATGTGCTCTTTTTCAGCAGGAATTTCCTCTTGTGTGTATACTTTAGGCAGCTGATAAAAATCATTGCCTTCGATGCAACTCACTTCAAGACCTTTGACAAAGGAAGCGTCAATCATTTTCTCCTTACCCATTGTTTTGAAGACAATTGTTGTTCTCTGTGCCTTGGCATGCAAATCTTGTTGAAGGGCTTGAGTACAAAAACGTGCAGTGCTTCCCTGATCCATAAATGCATAAGTCTGCACAGTCTGTTTCGAGTTTGACAACTTTATTTGAACTGGGATAATTGGTAGGGTTTGTTGATCACCGGCCCCAGTGTGGTTTCTGCCATTTAAAGAGACTAATGCACTACTTACAGAAGCTGCTTGGGTGAATTTATCAGAGTTGTCTTTTTGTTCAATCCTTTTCTTGTAGATGTGCAATATTGTTGGATGTTTCATTGAACAAACTTCACATTTAATTATTTTCTGACAGTCTTTGCTTAGATGTCCTTTCGTTAGACAGCCAAAGCAAATTCCTTGTGCTTTTAAGCAGTCAATCTTTTCATTGTGAGATGTTTTGTTCATGTTAATGTCTCAGAGGTGTGTTCTCCTGCACAAAATACAAAGCACTAATGAACAGTAATGTCTTTATGGTCTGATTTGATGTTTTGGAAAGGTTTTTGCTCCTCACTCTTGGGCACAGTAACACAACTACTTCCCTTATAACCATGAGCAGGCTTATTGCTGGGTGATTTGTACACTTTAATATCCCTTTTTGGCATGACATCCTGTATGTCTCCAAACATCATTTCATTTCAAACCTTTATTTATACAGATAAATCCCATTGAGATAATTGATCTCTTTTTCAAGGGAGACCTGCTCAAGTAGTTCCACATGAAACATAAAAACATAAATAGAACAGGTACCAATAAACAGGTACCAATAGATTCCGATTGACTAGCATCCAACCGAGCTTTAAAAACATTTAGTGGCACCAGATTGTTCGGTTTCCATTTAATTTGCAGACTATTTCAAGACAGAGGAGCTGCGCATCTAAAAGCTGTCTTCCCTAAGACAGTCCTAGCAGTTGGCACATTTAATAAAACCACAGCATTCGATCTCAGGCAGTAGCCACTTACAATTTTCCGTGAGATCAGGGAGCAGATATAAGATGGAAGTTTCCCTAAAATGGCTTTGTATATAAAAATGTACCAGTGACTGAGCCTCCGTACAGTTAGTGAAAGCAAACCAGCCCTTGCATACAGGGTACAGTGATGGGTTAATGCTTTACAGTTTGTCACAAATCTCAGTGCGCTGTGATACGCAGCATCTAATTTGACCAGGCAATTGGCAGGTGCATTCATATACATCAAATCACCATAGTCCAGCACAGGTAAAAAGGTCACAGTAACTAGCCTTTTCCTGGCCTCAAGCGAGAAACAGGACTTGTTCCTGTAGAAGAAACCTAGCCTAACCCTCAGCTTTTTAAGCAGGTTATTGACATGAAGTTTAAAAGTGAGACAATCATCAAGCTCCAGCACTACTGATCCATCATCTGTGTGTCTGGATAAACCTCCGAATGGACTCTGTGCTCTTTTCTCTGGAGCGTTTACCTCGGACTGTAGGAGCTAGCTTTGCATGCTAGCTGGAAACACGTTAGCAACACTAGTCGGATTGAGAGTTTGATCGAGAGAAAAACGGTGTGTTTAACGGAGTTTGCAGGAAAAGGTGATCTAGTAAACATGAGTAAAGTCCAAATGCTGCTGTCGTTGAAGAAGCAGCGACTCACTGCTGCTGCTGAAGATATATTTGCTCTGTTTGAAAAAACGATAGCAGAGAACGAAGAGGAGCTGTCTCGTTCCAAAGAGGAGAACGAGAGACTCCAGAAACTACTGGACGCTGTTTTACAGCCTCAGCTTCGGATACACAGAGCAGGTCTGTTCCTACTCTTAATTAACACTTTAACCTGTTAAACCCCGAGCCTGTTTTTCAGGTTTCAGGTTCGAAAATGACATTCCCAGAACAAATGACTATAACTTCACTTCTAAAAGGTTTATATGAATAATTGTTATCAAAGCAAGGTTACATCTGTGAGTTGGATGTAGAAGTGTCAGAATCAATATAGATGTTTTTATTTTAAAGTAAATTCAGATGGAACATAGTAAAAACATGTAAATTCTAATGTCCGCCTAAAAAAAAACATTACTTATAGTGAAAACCACCCTTGAATAATGGGTTAGTAGACTAAAAGCTTTAGGAATCCAAACTATAACATATAAGTACCCTGTATCAAGATTGATGCAAAACAAGTGAAATTTGACCTTTTTAGAGAGGTTTAGAAAAGCTTTTAGTCTACTATTCCATCATTCAAGGGTGGTTTTCACCAAGTAATAAGTCATGTTTTTCTTTTGGATGGACACTATAATTTAGATTTTTTTTTACTATGTTCAATCTGAATTTACTTTAAAATGAAACAATTCTATATTGATTCTGACTTTTCTACATCCAACTCACAGGTTTATCATTGCTTTGAGAAAAAAGATTATTAATTTACCCCTTTTTAGAAGTGAAGTTATGGTAATTTGTTCTGGGAATGTCATTTTCGAGCCTGAGGCCTGAAAAACAGGCTTGGAGCTTAACAGGTTAACAGCAAATGGTCCTCCATTTTGACTGTTTATTATTTTCCACGGCTCCATTAGCTTTGTTGCATTTTTTTCTTATAAGCAACTCAATTTCACAATCCAATTCAGGCAACTTAATTTCTATTAGATATTTCCATTTATGTATGGTCTCTTGAGTGGGAATGTGCTCTTTTTCAGCAGGAATTTCCTCTTGTGTCTATACTTTAGGCAGCTGATAAAAATCATTGCCTTCGATGCAACTCACTTCAAGACCTTTGACAAAGGAAGCGTCAATCATTTTCTCCTTACCCATTGTTTTGAAGACAATTGTTGTTCTCTGTGCCTTGGCATGCAAATCTTGTTGAAGGGCTTGAGTACAAAAACGTGCAGTGCTTCCCTGATCCATAAATGCATAAGTCTGCACAGTCTGTTTCGAGTTTGACAACTTTATTTGAACTGGGATAATTGGTAGGGTTTGTTGATCACCGGCCCCAGTGTGGTTTCTGCCATTTAAAGAGACTAATGCACTACTTACAGAAGCTGCTTGGGTGAATTTATCAGAGTTGTCTTTTTGTTCAATCCTTTTCTTGTAGATGTGCAATATTGTTGGATGTTTCATTGAACAAACTTCACATTTAATTATTTTCTGACAGTCTTTGCTTAGATGTCCTTTCGTTAGACAGCCAAAGCAAATTCCTTGTGCTTTTAAGCAGTCAATCTTTTCATTGTGAGATGTTTTGTTCATGTTAATGTCTCAGAGGTGTGTTCTCCTGCACAAAATACAATACAATCTGCAGCTATCTTTAAAAAGAAAGGTTCTACGTTGTCCGGGCCAGCCGGTTTCTTAGGATCTAACTTGGTTAAAGCTTCACGAACAACATCAACAGTAAAAGGGGTAAAACTAAAAGGGTTTTCCAACACACGTTTTCAGAGTCACATACTATAGTGTTCACAGAAGCAGAGTTAGTGACAGAATCAAATGGAGAACCACAGGACACAAAATGCTCATTAAAGCAATTTAGCATAGTAGCCCTGTCCGATATAGTGCCAGATGCTGTGTTAATACACGGAGGTAGCTCATTACGGATATCGCCGGTGGATAACGATTTAATGGCTTTCCAACATTTTCCAGGATTATTCCGATTCTTTGTGGTTACTGACAGATAGTACTTTGATTTAGCACTTTTGACATGTGAAATGAAGCTATTTCTTAGCTGCCTAAAATGCAGCCATTCTACCTCTGAGCCTGATTTCCTAGCCTTTGCCCAGGCCTTGTTTCTCTCATGAGGTCTGATGCAATGCGTTCATGCTTTTCAAGTAAGTCGACCAAAATTGGAAGCTTTGCTCTTGTCTTATTGTGTTCATAGTATGCATATGCAGTTGTTCTCCACTTTTCCCTAAGTTTAAATTGGAGTTTCCTGATCACATATCTCATGTTTGATGTGCTATTAATTTAATCCAAAAACTCAACATCTTCCATTGTGTTGCAACATCCACGAAGAAAGATAGCATAAGAATGCAGTGCTTTTCTATCTTCACTCTTGATGGCATTCCAGTTCAACATTTTGTCCAAACAAGCTGCTGCGAGAGTTGATGTCCATAGTTCTCTTGGAGCAGTCTTGCCATTTTTTTAATCCATGTATTGGCAACTTTTTACCAAGTCTTAAGCTTGGCCTTGTGTATACTGCTCTAGAAAGAACAGCCTGTCTTTGTAATTGTCAGTTGTATCTTCTATTGTATTTTTCGAACATTCTGATGAATGAAAGGTACTGTAATGGATCTCCTTTAACCGGTTAAGCCCCAAGCCTGTTTCCCAGGTCTCAGGCTCGAAAATGACATTCCCAGAGCAAATTACCATAACTTCACTTCTAAACAGTGTTGTGCTAGTTACTGAAAACCAGTAACTAGTTACCATTACTAGTTACTTCATTTCAAAAGTAACTCAGTTACTTTACTAGTTACTTACACCAAAAAGTAATGCGTTACTGTGAAAAGTAACGTTTTAGTTAGTTATAAAAAGGGCTCCCATTTATTTCAGTACTGTTATTGCATTGGAGAATAATACAATCTGTTGATCAACTTGACATGCATTATATGCAATCTGGATTGCATCGATATTAGCTGGCTTTCCATTTTTGTATATTCTTTCTCCAGGTAGTTAGGGCTCGCAATTAACGATGTCCCGATGTCTCGGGGACCATAAAAATTCCTACTGGGACACAAATCTATTTTGTCTGGGACTATTTCGGGACAGTGAAAAAAAAATTAAAAGTAAACTTCAAAATGGGTGTTATTTGCAAAGTCATTGGGCTGTCAAATCATAGAATGCATTCTACGTCATCCACTCTGCTGCTGACTGCTGCTAGACTCGCGCCAATGCAACGGTCACGACAGTTAAAAAAAGTAGAAAGAAATGCTGAGGTGGTTGAATAAACAGCCCCCTGATGCAAGCCTCATGAATGAAGATAGAAGATCAATTTATATTCCTATAGTACTACTGACTTGTGAGGATAACTTGTAATTAGAACTGAAAACCGATACATGTATTAAACTGTATTATGGAACTTCTGTTTTTTTATTATCATTCATACCACTTTTATTGCCAGATGGAGGGTTCCGATCATAAAACACAGAGACCATACAGCCATACCATATTGAATTGAAAAATACAAATCAGAATTATTCTATGTTGACATGACAATGATAAATTAGTCTGGATATTGAGAAACAATAGAAAGACATGTCTTAAAACAACTCTCTTCCCTTCTACTCTAGGAGAGGCAACAGATCAGACTAATATTCATATGTTTAAAAGAACAAGTATATTAAACTTACATGGTGGACCAGAGTCTATGGTGTGATGATTAAGTGACAAAAAAGTATCAAATTATATGTATTCTGCATAATTGGGGGGGGCGACGATACAAATTTAAATTTGGGACACTGCTGGTTATATCCGGGACAATACAAAGTAGAATTCGGGACAGTTGTGGGACACTGAGGAAAAAAAAAAAAGTTAATTTTTCCGTCCCATATGCCGTGTGCCGCCCGGACATGGTATCATGCTAACTAGCTCCCTGAAAGCGGGTGACTCCACTGTAGCAATAGCCTGCATGTGTTCTACAACATACCGTGCAATGGCTTTATCGACTTTTCCCTGGCTAGCAGTCCCTTGGTTAAAATCCAGCCGCTGTTGCTTAGGTGGAGGTGGAGTAGCGTCGGCTGAGTCTCTGTGGTCTTAGCTAGGCTACTAGCTTCGTCCCAGCATGTTGTTTTTGCAGATGTTTTAAGAGATTTGAATGACTGGTTTGGGCAGTAGATACGATCTTTGACCCGCCAAGACACAACTTACATTGAACTAAAACGTTCTTTTCTTTGTGCTCGACAAAAGTGAAATAGTGAGAATATCTCCAGGTCGAGAAACTAGACTTGAGCTCCGCCGCCGCCATGATAGTCTTGTTAGTAAACAACACAAACACGCCCACAGCCCGTCTCCGCATGTGACACAGGAAGTATCTAAGTACATTTACTCAAGTACTGTACTTAAGTACAGTTCTCATCTCTGTTCGCCTGGCTGTTGACTATATAAAAAAAACTAACGGAGTAACGCACCATGTAGTAACGGTAACTGAGTTACTGAATTTAAAAAGTAATGCGTTAGAGTACTAATAACGGCTTTACAGTAACCCCAACACTAGTCCCAACACTGCTTCTAAAAGGGGTAAATTAATAATCTTTTTTCTCAAAGCAATGATAAACTTGTGAGTTGGATGTAGAAAAGTCAGAATCAATATAGAATTTGTTTTTAGTAAATTCAGATTGAACATATGGCGCATTCATACCGCAGTACCTTTCCCGCTTTAGTTCCGATATAGTTCCGAAATGTCGCGTTCACACCAAAAAGTGTCAGAACTAAAATTAGTTAATCAGAACCTTTTCTACCCCCTTTTCCGTCCCTGCTAGAGAGCAGGTACTTTCGTGGGAGAAAAAGGTTCCTATGTCTGATTGGTTGGGTGTCCCAGCAGCTTCTACTGAAGCCAGTCCCCAACTCCGGGGACTTCCGGCCGGGGACTTCGGGTGGCAGTATACGCCGTGAAGTTGTTTGCGGCCTGCCAGTAAACCCAAAGCAGAAGAAGAAGTGACGTCAGCGGCTTCATTTGCCTAACCCTTCCCCAGGAACTTATTCCGGTGTGAACGTGATCTGTACTTAGTTCTCATTAACCTTTGTGGGAAAAGTACTGCGGTGTGAATGCGCCTATTGTAAAAAAAAAAATGTCAATGATTGTGTCCGTCCAAAAAAAAAACATCACTTATAGTGAAAACCATCCTTGAATGATGGGATCGGAGACTAAAAGCTTTCGGAATCCAAACTATAACATATAAGTACCCTGTATCAAGATTGATGCAAAACAAGTGACATTTTACCTTTTTCTTTTAGAGAGTGCCGTGGTGGCGGGACGTTGTGAGGCTCTCTGCTGCTCACTCACAGCCTCGCCGCGTCCCGCCGTCTCAGGCTGAGAAATCCGCGGAGCTGCGAAAAGATTGAGTGTGTGTGTGATGAAGTCCGCCGATTGGTCAATTTGGACCAAACCGCGGACTTACCGTAATGGCTCCGCGGACGTAATGTAATGGCTCCGGATTGGTACATTTGGATCAATGGGTCCATTTGGGTCGTTGTTACGTCACTTGGTACCAGGAAGAAAAAGAGAAATCTTCAACGAGGCGTTCTGGGGCAGCATAGACAGGCCTTTTCTGTGTTAGAGTTTTACGCGCTACAGGGTTTACTTTGAGGGTTTGTGACTCTGCAGACCGTTTACATGCATAAAAAGCTACATAACACACAAGGGGACGGGTAATAACCAGAAAAGCATGACATGGGACCTTTAAATGTTGAGAAGCCCTCAGACGCTGTTTCTTGCAAGATGTTACGTTTTGCCCCCGCGGAAATGTTATTGCAGTATCATTACTTTTACATGAGAAGGTGCTGTACATTTTTCTGTTAATACTTGCGTACTTTTACTAAAATAAGGTTTGAATGCAAGATTTTCATTTGTAACAGAGTATTTTCACTCTATAGGCGTAGTGTATCTGTGAACGATGCCAAATACAATTCCTTGTTTGCATTGCAACTAGTGCTAAACTGGAAGTGGAAAGGGGCTGGGCTACAGAAGGTGAATTGAGAAAACAAAAATACACAACGGGTGGGACTAAGAAAGATAATATGAAAGTATAAAAACAAAGGCATTAATTAGGGCTGCAAAATGTCTCCCATTGTAATGGAGATTAGATTTTTAAATGATAACACTTAACAGTTATTACTGACTGTTTCCTGCAGATGTCCAGCTGCTGGTGGTGGTTAAAGAAGAGCTTCTCCCTGACCACCAAGAGTGGAGCACCAGTCTGGAACAGGAGGACCCAGAGCCCCCCCCACACATTAAGCAGGAACAGGAGGAACTCAGGATCAGTCAGGAGGGAGAGCAGCTTCAGGAGCTGGAGGAGGCTGATATCACCAAGTCCACTTTCACTCCTGACCCTGTGAAGAGTGAAGGTGATAAAGAGAAATCTCAGTCCTCACAGCCTCATCAAAGACAAACTGAACACATGGAAACAGAAGCTGATGGAGATGATTGTCGAGGACCAGAACCAGCTAATAACTCAGATCCAGAAAGCAGTTTACAACCAAAGACTGAGGATGACACTGGAGACACTTCTGAACCTGACACTGAACACAGTGCTGATTGGAAGGAGACCAGAGAACCTGCGTCAGGCTCAAAATCACTGAAAAATAGACAAGAATCGGTCAGTGATTCAAGCCGTAGTGCTGTAAAGAAACAATTTGGCTGCACCGTGTGTACGAAATCTTTTACATATAGAAGTAATATTCAGCGACACATGAGAATCCACACAGGAGAGAAACCCTTTAGCTGCTCAGTTTGTACCAAATCTTTTGCATTGAGTCAAAGTTTAAAAAAACACATGAGAATCCACACAGGAGAGAAACCATACGGATGCTCAGTCTGTAAGAAATATTTTTCACAGAGTGGAAGTTTAAAAGAACACACGAAAATTCACACAGGAGAGAAACCCTTTAGCTGCTCATTTTGTACCAAATCTTTTGCATTTAGTGACAGTTTTAAAAAACACATCAGAATCCACACAAGAGAGAAACCATACAGATGCTCAGTCTGTAAGAAACCTTTTACACAGAGTGGAGGTTTAAAGGAACACATGAGAATCCACACAGGAGAGAAACCATACAGATGCTCAGTCTGTAAGAAACCTTTTTCACAGAGTGGAGGTTTAAAGACACACATGAGAGTCCACACAGGAGATAAACCATACAGATGCTCAGTCTGTAAGAAAGCTTTTTCACAGAGTAGAGGTTTAAAGACACACATGAGAGTCCACACAGGAGAGGAAATATACAGCTGCAATGTTTGTGACAAAAGATTTAAATGGCATGGTTATTTCAAAAGACACAAGTGTGTTGGTCGTCAGTCCTCACAGCTTAATGAAATTCAAACTGAGGATAACAGAGAGGCAGAGCCTCCAATCAGCAGCTCAGTTGAACACATGGAAAAAGAAGCTGATGGAGAGGACAATGAATAAGTCTTATGACAGTTCACACATGAGAAAAATCTGTCTGACTGAATTAACATTGACAATATGTTTAATGTTTTTGTCATACTGATTTTCTGAGTTATACGTTCACCATTTTATGTTGGATTGAGGGCTCCAACTTTCCATATAGAGATATAGGATGATTTAATGTATTCTTTATTTCTAAATGTTTTGTATCATTGATATCCTGTTAATGAGCCCTGTTTTACATAAATGTACCTGTTATCTGATTGTTTATTGTTTTTGCTTCTGTGACTGTAAGGGAAGTAGGGCTGCACAATATATCATGTCTTGACGATAACCGCGTTATGCACATGTGCGATATTCAAATCGCTGGAAGTTTTTTTTTTTTTTGGAAGTGCAATAATAAGTAGGCAATTTAACTCAAAACATGTCATGTTACAATTATTTTGCTGCTTGCTACAAAAGGAAAACACGCGCGGCTCTCATGTCAGGGGTACTTGAGTGAGTGACATGCAGGCTCTGCATGCACAGCAAACCAGCAATCACAATCATTCTTGATCAGATCACAGCAGGATAACCGAGCTAGCTCAGCTTGTTGCTCTGATAACTTAAGATCCAGAAGTCCGTGACTAAAATCCTTCATCCGGGTTGAATATTGTTAAAAAAATACCAATTGTATAGCATTAAAGTTCAAGAAAGGATGGTTTGCGGACAAAAAAAACCTGTCTTTTCTTCAATTCCTGTATTTTTTCATATCGCAATATCAGTTTTTTCCAATATCGTGCAGCCCTAAAGGGAATACATTTGCCTATTTTGTATCCTGATGACCTAAAACCGTTACATATAATACGTTACTCCCTAAGCCTGATTTTACCCACCTGCAACCGCTAATAATCACAAATGTTCATTTATTTGACGCCTTGACTCGACTATTTCTTGTTTAATAATCATTACATCTCCTCAGGACCAGGTTCCTGTGTCCTGCCTTTCACCTGCTGATCACCCACTGCTCATTTAAGGTGGACTGACCTTTATAATGGACCAGCCAGTCTTATTGTCTTAATGCAAACGTTTTGTGAAGTGATGCTAGACCAAAAACGTACTGTTGTGTGCTCTCTGCAGGACGGTGTCTGTACTCAAAGATTGTTTATGAAATGAGAGCTTCACTCTGTTTTTGTTGTCCAAACAACGCCAACAGAGCAATACATCTTCTTTCAGATGGCATAAATGTTACATCATCCAGTTCAACTGTCATCCACATATCAATGATTCAAAACAGCAATGTGTAAGATATGGCTAGTAATTGACTATTTGAACAGAATGTGAAGCGGTTACAGTCTTAGGTTATATCCAATATGTTTATGTTTTGTTTGATTACATCTACTGAAATGAGCATTCAATGACTAAATTATTCTTAATTACTGTCATTACATCATGGGTTTGCATTGCAATATTAGAACGCATAAAACCCAACTTTATTTATTTTAAGTTGCGGGTGTTCAATGTTTAGAAGTCTGCTGTGTTTCATCCAAGCTTCCACTTTGTGCTCCGATAATGCTGAAAGTGTTGTATGCTTTACCTGCTCCAGTAACAAAAATGTAATTCACTGGACAGAGACAAGAGATAGTGGATGGATCCAGAGGAGAACCAGAAGATAGTCCGTATAGAGCAGGGGTTTTCAAAGTGTGGGAAGGTGAGCCTCCCCTCAGAGAACATAAGAACAGCCGCGCCCCCCCCTCCCAATTATTATTGTTATTATTGTTGTTGTGGCTATAATGCAGGGGTATTATTATCCAGTGGAATGCCCTTACCTACTGGCCTAGTTAAATCAAAGTGGTTACTTTTTTTTGGCTGGGCACTGGGCAGTGTAGTTTTACACACCGTCTTATTTGACTTTCTCAGGAATTAAAACAGTTTTTTGGGGGAAGACCCCCACAAAGAAAAAAATATATTTACACATGTAAGGTCATCATCTTAACAGTTTGTTATGCTCATCAAGTCATCCGTGAGCAGAGCCTCAAGTTGGCATGCCTATAACAGCTGAATGTGGCGATTACGTCTTGTTCAGCAAAACGCCCCACAAACTGATTAAGATCCAAAGCTTTTGATTCAATGCTGAGTACAGACAAACTTGACAGTCTCTTCTCTGTCATTGTAGACAGCAAATATCTCATTCCTTCCGTCTACTTGGGTACAAATGCTTCTCGTTTTGCACCGTTCTGTTCAAATGAAATCGCCGCCAATCACATTTCCACGCTCGCGCCATGGCCGGGGGAGGGGTTACAAGGCTTGTGCTGCATTCACTTGCACTTGGACATTAGGGATTTTCTCTCATATGTCCGATGAGCCACAACTTTTATTTCAAAAATAAAACTGCCAACTGGGGTAGCAAGGCTATTTTTAGGGTGGCAGTTGCAACCCCGGTAGATCCGCCCCTGCTTGACCGGTACTTGCTTTTGATCAATGTCAATGCGGAAAACCTGCACTCACACAGGTAGGCGGAGGTGAAGGGAATGAGCACTTTTACAGCCTTTTTGACGAGGTGGAGGAACTCGGTCTCCACAGACAGCCAAAAGTGTGCAAGTGACGTTTTCTGCCAGACGCTGTCTACAGTGGAAAGCAATGTTTAGGGATATGGTAAAAATTATTAGGAGACATTAATTGTGTTTAAGATGGCATTCAACATCTAAGGCAGATAGTATGTTTAGGAAAATAGAGTGGAAAAGATTGGATTTATTTTTACCTCAGTGTGTTAGAATTATCTATAGGTAATGCGTCCCGAGATCTCTCTCTCTCTCTCTCTCTCTCTCTCTCTCTCTCTCTCTCTCTGCCTGTCAGACTGCTACGACCCCATCTTCCAAGCAGACAAAAGACCTCACCACAGGAGACTCCTCGAACAGACAGAGAACCAGAGCTGAACCAACAACGACGAGACTGCATCCAGATCCATCTCCACCTGAGGCATCCAGAACCAAAACCAGCTGACATAAAGAGGCATAATCTCATCGGTCCCCCACAGGACATGAAGTTCCAAGCTGAGCCACGGGATTTGGCACAATAGCAGGGTGTGGGACATGAGAGCAGAATACGCCCTCCATGCAACAGCGAAGAGACTGTAAAGGAGGAGATTAAATGCAAAGCAGTTGGGCCACTGAAAAGAGTTACAGCGGGAGGATCCTGTTAGGGATTAATTTAGTCTTTACTCCTAGACATTTAACCTTATTTTGTGTGTTGACATGTACGACCATCCCTGCTTCTAATCTCGCGTGAGGAATGTGTTGATGCAGTCGTATGTTGATACTAGGTTTTACAGCTTGACCTACAGGGCATAGGAGGTTTTGCGAGTGTGAGAACGCTAGCTTCTAAGCTCCAGAGATGGGAGAGACATCTCCTGTGTCTGCAGATGTGTTTACGCCATGGTTTACGCCCATCCCCAATATGTGGATTTGACTCTCTGTAAACTAGTTAAAAGGTCTACCAAGATGCGAGACTGATCAGATTTGACATGGCAAACCACCCGTGCAGTCAGAACCTTTGACTGTGTGACTTGTGATGTGAATTTCTCCGGCCGATGCTTGTATTAAATATCAGTGTTTGACATCAGAACTCCTGCTCGTCCCGTGTCTCCTTCATGAGTTGGTGACTCCCACTGCATTGCTACACAGAAGTTTCCTCCACAGATCCAAGAGCGGATGGACTGAGGAGAAGGTGGACGGAGGAGAAGACAGGACGGAGGAGTTGGCATGGTCTAGCAGAACGTGAGGGGGTTGTGGCTTGACAACCAGAGGGGGTGAGAAGGAAAACGGGAGTGAGTGAGTTTACACGTAAACACACTTATTCACCAACGAGAAATACGTAAAGAAAAAGATGTATTAGCCATGAATTAATCAATTGGTAAATGTATAAAGTAAGAAAGAGGAAACTATTAAAGTAAAATGAGAAAATAATCCTAAAAACACACTGAGGGTAGAACATATTATTCAATCTTTTCATCATATAAACAAATTATTCTTTAAGCGATTCCAATTCATGTGCGAATTTGGGTAAGATTTAATTTAAGTTACAATATAGATCTACAGTTTAAAGGGATGGTTTTAGTAACCACTCTATAAGAGCAGACACATCTTTATTTGTATGGAAAATGTTAAAGGTAGCGCTAGTACCAAGCCAAAGATAGTATTACAATCTAAAGTAGTGATTTCACCATTGTAGCATGGTTATTACCATAGGAGAACTGTTAAGGTGGAAACAACATTTGTTTGTCGTCCAAGATGTAGAGTTTTAAAAATACACGGGGCAAAGAGCAATAGCACATTTTTATTTTGGAAAAAGCAATATAATTGGGAGTAATACATGCAGGGCCTTGGATCACTCATTTTAATGGTTGTTGGAGATTTAAAGGGATATCTGGTCCGCTTTTCAAATCTCCGCGCGTTCCTATGAAGCTGGTTATAATACAGGAAGGAATCCATATCTACAAAGTAACCGTTAACAATAATCTACTTTAATGGCAATATGACAATGCAATACAATCATTACAATACAACATGATATATTACAGTTATATTGTAATGCTTAAGGAGTAATGCCGGCTTACTCCTGCTCTGGTCCGCATACTGCAGAGCTACTTTCACCCGAGGGCAGCATGTGAAGAAGAGGCCGAACGCCAGGGATCCACCGGATATATACCAGAGTAAGAAGGAGGGGTTTGGTGTTAGGTCAGCTGGTCATCTTTTCAGGTCATCTCATTGGGAGACGCAACGCTGGCCAGCAGGAAACCAAACAGGCTCACTTTCCAACAAAAGGTCTCAAGGCCTGCATACCCACACCTCCCCCACAGAGCAATAAAACCCTGTTTACTCCAACCAGCCCAGAATGTTTATAGCCATTTGTAGTCCTTACATTTATGAAAGGATAAAACAGAGAAATCAATATAAAACACAAACACAGGTATTGTTTGAACAGTATTCACTTAACTGCTACTGTTGATAAGCACCAGAGAAACCCAAGGGACCTCTCTTAACATCACAAACACTGCAGCTAGATCTAAGTTGAATGCAAATCAGGACATGCTCTCACCTTCCCCCATCTTCCTTTGTCCTCAAAAACACATGTCAACAGGCCCCAAATGCAGCTCACAGTTTTACCCAAATTATTCTCATTTTAAGCTTATCCATAGTTTGCTAACATGAATAAATACAAATATAACTCTACAAATCCCCCTTTTTATCTCCTTCTCCAGAGATAAACTTAGACAAGGCATTTT